CAGCAAAACAACCCCAAAACATCACATTCACACCATTTATTTGGTCCATGTTACTGATTTGCTTTTCTATTGTAAACTCTTATTTTATGTGATATTTGGGGCTTCCTTCTTTAAATATGCGAGAAAAAAGTTCCCTAACTGTTAATAATGAAAAATAAACTAATATCGCAGCATGAATGCTTCTGAGACTTCATAAAATCTGCAGCTGAAGACGTCTTTTTATTACTTTATGTGTCTGAAATCCAACGTTTTCTACAAGAGTTCATTTTATCGAACCCACCCCGAAGCTAAAACCTCAAACGCATTCATTCAAATGAGAAAAAAAAACACACCATGAAAAGGCAGCTTTTTTCAAATACCGGTGTGGTTTTATTCCAGCTTCTACCGAGGTCAGAGTTTACAACAGTGAAAAGATCCAACTGGCAAACCGTCCGATAAATCTACCTCCTTTCTGGCAGAAGAGGGCAGTAGCCTCCGCTGCACCGAGTGACCGTTTCAGGCTGGACTCATGCATAGAGGCGTTTTTAGGTTTCACAGTCAGACCAGCGTCAGTTAAAAGAGAGAAAAAACCCAACAAAACAAAGTCCTGCCACTTTGGAAGAAGGCACAAACTGTAAGGAAGCTCGGCGGACCGAAGGCCATGAAAACAACCGCAGACGGGTCACAGGATGAAAGACGGACTAACAGAGACTTAATCTGGCAAAGAAAGGCGCTGTTCCTGAGATGAGATCATTTGGTTTCTCAACAGGAGCACGGAGAGTCCCGCGCATCTGACACGAAGCAGAATCACAGAAGAAGAAGCGACATGATCGATCAACAGCTGGCTTCCAAAGAGGAGCACTGATTTGAAAATGAAATAAAAGGAAACGAGCATTTCATGATGACTAATCGTTAGAAAACGAGGACGCGCTACATGATGTATTCGGTCTTAGCTAGTCGGGCCTCAGAGGCCTTTGTTGAAGTAGACTTGTTGTACGCTGCTTCCGTACTGAGACATGATGGAGTCTCTGAGCTCGGGCTCCAGCTTGGACACGGACATGGAGCTGCAGGAGGACGAGAAGGGAAACAGAGTCGGTGTGATGGAACAAACAGACACATTCAGGGCTCTTATTGAACAGAAATCAATCAATCAATCAAACNGCTCCTTATTTGACTCACAACACTTTTTAGTTTTCTTTTAAAATCATTTCATCCTTCTTTAAAAATTCTTTACTCGTCAGTTTTACTATTTTGCATCAAATCCTGATGTCAGATTCTGATTAATGCAGCTCCATTCATGTGGGAAAAAAATGTCCTTAAAATGAAGTGAGAATTCTTGGAAAATATTGCAATGAATTGACTGAATAAAGGAGGACGGCTGGCACGCCCAGGTCAGGAATTTCACGAGGAGCGAACGTTCTGCTGCCACAATGACGCTGTAATTAAATCTTTATTCTGGCATCTTAAAAACAAACTGAGAAACTTTGTGTTCCAGTAAGATTTCGTAAAACTCATTCATGCTTTTGTTTCTTCCACAGTAGACTAGTGCTGCACTCCTTACCGGCCTCCCTGATAAGAACATCAGGCGTTTCATTCAAAATGCTGCTGCTGGAAAACTGACAAACACCAGGAAGAGAGAACACAAACTCTGATCCTTAGATCCCTGCACTGGCTTCCTGGTAAATAAAGAATTGAATTCAAGGCTCTACTCATTGTCTTTAAGTGTCTGAATAGACAAGGAGCAAAATGCATTAAAGATTTGTTTGCTGAAGCCTGACAAGTCTCTTAAATTTGCAGGGACTGGTCAGTTAGTAGCAGGAGTCTGGGCATGAAGTCATTATGCCTCCTCTGGAACTTAATAATTCAGTTTCTCATTTGCTTGGCACACAGAAAATCCATTTGTCCTCATGTCGAGGCCTGAATGTCCTCAGAGCTCAAAGTGACACGCCATGTTCATCTGGTTAAACCTTATAAACAGTCTGAACCGCAAGATGATTAAGAGTAAAAAAAGAAGTTTAAATAACTAAAGGATGCAGCACCTTAAGGCGGAAGTTTGCTGCCGATCACACGGACAAATAAAG